GAACCCACAAGCAAAGAGCCGTGAATGCCCGCCTGGACACAGCAGGGCCTGGGCTCTGGAGACCGGCTGTCCTCTATGCTCCCGCCCGGGGCCTGCTGTTGACCAGGGTTCCCTCCAGTGATGTCGCCTGCTCCAGACCCGCAGCTCCCAGCAGAGGCCCCCAGGCCCCAGGCCCGGTGCTGGCCCTGCCCAGGTGCCCCCTGCAGGCTAAGGCTGACCCTCGGGAGGCGGCCCTCTCAGCTTGCGCTCCCCGTCCACGGCGCCCGCTCCCGGCGCCCCGCGGCTGCCTGTCTCCTGAGCAGAAGTAGCTTTGGAATTAAGGGAGACCGAGAGGAAATACGAAGCCAGCCCCGAGGGTCCGGGTCACCGCCACAGATTCTGCTGGGGCAGGGGCCAGGGTGTGCGGGAGGCCCGGGCCCGAGAGCGGGGTCTGCCCGCGTCCTCCCCGAAATCCGAAGCCACGGCCTCGTCCTGCCAGGATGGCCTCACGGCGACATCGCCTGCAGCGCGCCCACAGCCCGCGCCGCCCGAGATCCGCAGGCTCCGGCCCGCCCCAGGCCTCCCATCCGCCGCGCCCGTCCGGGGGCGGGCCCCGAGCTCCGCGGCGCCCGGGAGCGAGAGGCGGGGGCGGCCTCGCTTCTCCGGGACGGAGGCCACCGCGGCGGCGGCACAGTAAGTGCGGGGCGCCGACGCCGGCGCGGGGGTGGGGGCTCAGGCTCGGCGGAGAGGGTCGCGGAGGCCCGCCCCGCAGGCCCTGGAGCCCGGCTCCCCTGACTCGGGGCGAAGCTGGCGCTGGGGCCGGGCCGGGTGCTTGCGCTCGCTGGGCCTGGCAGGCCGCGTCTCGCTCCTCCACACCTTGCCCACCAGTGCTCAGAAGCTGCTCCGTTACGTGGCGGAGCCGCGCTCTGGGCCGGACCTCGGCAGGGCGGAGCAGGGCAGGGCTTGGCTCTTTCTGGAGTCCCCGCGGCCAGGACTGCCCCGTAGGCGGCCCGGAACTTCCCGGCCTGCGGGAAGCGTGCGAATACCTGAAACGTGCGTGAACGAACTGTGACAACAAGAGCAGAGGGGCTTGGTGACCCCTAGTGTGTGCCGGGAGCAGCTCCTGGGGTGCAGATTGCGCACGCGGGGACTTCAGACGCCACGTTTACTTATAGTGGGGCATGTCTGGGTGATGACGTTGAAGTCGGAGTTTCTCAGCAGAATAAACATCTTTAAAAAGATTTATTTATTTGAAAGAGGAGAGAGAGAGAGAGCGTGCACTAGAGTGAACTTCTGTAGGCTGGTTCGCACCCCAGATGGCCATAGCCGTCAGGTACTAGGACACTGTGGCAAGAATGTGTGCACATGAACACCCCACCTTCCCTGTGAAGCCCTGAGCATGGCCCGGGCCCTAAACTGGGTAATGCTGGCAAGTCACTGGGACTGCCCAGTAAGAGGGTGGGGTTGAGTGACCGTGAGGCCTTTGGGAAGAAGGGTTCCAAACCGCACCTCCCTTAGCACCTGTGTGATGTTTCTCTCTCTCTCCCTGCCTCCCTCCCTCCCTCTCTGCCTTACTTTCTCCGTCTTTAAAGGAGAGCATGATGTACGGTTTGGGCAGAGCTGTGTCGGGATTATTGGAGCGTGTGTTTGAACACAGCGGCAGCCCTGCCTGGTAACCCCAGTCCTCTGAGCTTGGCCCCAGGCCGTGCACTGGGGCTCAGATCCTGCTTGGTGCAAGGAGTCTCCTGAGGTCCCTGTGGTAAAGGAAGAGTTCATCAGCTCGCAGCAGATGCACGCCACTGGGCTCCACGCTGGTCCACACTCGGCAGACGGAGAGTGGCTGTCAGAGGTTTCATCTGGCCGGTCTGTAAAACCGAAACAGTCACATTTCTATTATCCAATGACTTGAACTTGTGCAGAAGCTTCCACGTTATCCTTGCTGTGTCACTACCATCTGGACAGGGCTCGATGTGTGCACTTTGGGGACCCAGCAGGTGACTGGAGTTGGCCCAGTGCTGGGTGTCAGGAGCTCTGTCTGTTCCCACCCAGAGGGCCCAGGCCAGGGAGCAGCACAGCCAGCTCCATGGAGGGGACCTCGGCCACGGAGAGAAGCGGCTCTGAGCCACAGCCAGACGTCAGACGCCTCCTGAGACCTTGGCCTTGCCCTCGGGGAGACAGAGCAGGCAGCCTGGTGGCCTCTCAGCTTCCTGGGGCATGGAGGGTGCAACGCCAAGGCCCCTCTGTGCTGGAGTCCAAGGTGAGGGCTTTGAAGGAGAAGATGGCAGGAGGTCAGCGGGGGGCAAACCCTTGCCCTGCCCCCCGTGAGCAGTCATCACCCAAGAAACCGTCCTGCAGACAGGTGCAGGCGGGCGGAGGAGGAGCCCCCTCAGAGGGGTCTGCTCTGCCAGATGCTATGGCGACCCTCCAGGCTCGGAACCTGACCGACGTACAGCCAGACAGCGGTGTCGGTGAGGCGGAGCTTGCCAGGAATGGGGAACCCGTGCCTCCCAGGCCTCCTGACCCTGAGCTCGAGTGCCAGAACAGAGGGAGCCCATGGTTTTCGGAAGCAGAATGGACAGAGTCTGACCGTGTGGGGGGTCTTCCAACAGGGCCTGGCGCGTTGCAAGAGAGCCCTTTGCATGGAGTCAGCCCTGGCCGGCCTGGGGCTGTTGGTCCTTCCAGGAAAGCCACCCACGTGCCCCACCTGAAGAAAGGGAAGTCGTGTCCCCTGGTCGCAGGGGCACCCCTGGACAGCGCATCCCTGACGTCAGAGGAAGGCTTTGTCCCCAGGGCAACCCTGCTGGAGGGGCTCTGGAGAGCCGGAGACCCAGGGGCTCTGAGCACAGGGGGCCATGCCTTGTCCTTGTCTGGCCAGGTGGAGAGGAACCGCCTGCTGCTGCAGGAGACACTGAATGCCTCAGGGCTGCGCCCCCTGCAGGCGGGAGCTGCAGCCTGGACGCTGTCCCGGGGCAGAGCTGCACCAGGTGAGGCTCAGTCTGCAGCTGTGGGTGCTGGGCCAGCAGGAAGGGGTTACCCATGAGGGGGTAGGAAAAGAGGGAGGGGACAGCTGTCCTTCACCACAATCATCAGGCACCTCTCATCGTTGGCTCTGACGTAGATTCTTTACCCCTCACAGACAGCGACCCGTAAGCCTCAGAGCAGGGGAGGCCACCCTCTGGGCTCGGGGGCTGAGCTCATGATGGCTTTCCCCCTTTAGCTTGAAGCCTACTGCAGAGTGCTTCCTCTGTGCCCTTCCAGTGCCATACCCTCCACTCCCTGGGGACCCCCTTGCCATCTGCTGGGCCGGGCAAGCAGTCCTGTCCCACTGGCTCAGCCGCCGCCGTGGCCATGCCCACCTGCAGTCGCTGTGCCTCCACGGCCCAGACCAGGATGCAGGAAGGGTGTGGAGCGCTCTGGGGAGTAAGTGCGCTGGAGACTCCTTTCTCCTCCAGGTTCATTAAGTGGCAGCTGAGAGCCCTGTTTCTGGCTCTGCCCTGATGTCTGCTTCTGTTCTGGGGACAGAGCGACCAGCGGGGGACGAGGATGGGGACCCTGGCTTCTCCCTGCAGGACTCAGACAAGAACGGGTGAGTCACAGCCCACATTCTCTCTCCCTTCTCTGCCATTTGCTTGGCATCAGGACAGTGGAGACCTCACAGAGGCAAGGGCCAGGCAAACTCCTGCGCTGCTGGGACCCCAGGATCATCCTCCCTGAGAGCCTGTGGAAGGTGCCCCCGGGGGTGCCTGGCTTCTACTTGAGCAAAGCCACTGGGCAGAGAACACTGCCAGCTCCATGCTCTGTGTCCTTGGAGACCACTTCCTGGCCAAGGCTTCGGTGTCTTTACCTTTAAAGTGAGGGAAATCACTTTTGTCTGGCTGACTTCTCAGGTTTATTGTGAGGCTGAAGCGAGATAATGGATACGAAAATTTGGGAAAAGTTACAAGGGCAAAGGTGTTACCCTACCTCCTGCTTTCCTAACCAGGGGATGTGCTGTCTCCCCCTCACCATGGTATTCTGTAGACTTTGCTGCAGCTCCTCACCAGTGTTCTGGGGAAGCTGGACTCCCTGGGGTGCCCCGGGGGGAAGTGGGGTTCCTTGTTCTTCATGGGCAGTGTCCTGAGCCATGGCAGAAGGAGAAGAGTACATTCAAGGTGGGAGGGGCATCCTGGGTCGGATTAGACTGAAAAGTCTTTCTGGAAGGGAGGGTCTGTACCTTTCTGCCTGCAGGGCTGGACACCCTGAGGCTGGACAGCTGTGGTGTGGCCAGGGTGAGTGGGCAGTTAGACCAGCACAGGCTCAGCACCCCCGGTACTGCACCTGATGCTCCTGCCTCTGGGGGCAGAGGTGGGAGAGTAGGAAATGACCACCGTCCCACCATGGCAGGTGGGGCCTCCCTTCTCCAAGGCACAAGACGACTCTGCCATGGCTCTGCTGGCCTTGGCCACAGACAGTAAAGGCAGCTTCCCCTCTGCCACCTGCTATGTGTGACTGCATGGATGTCTCCAAGCCTTGAAAAGCAGAGAAGCCAGCTTTGTCTGCCAGGAACCAAAGCAGGGCAGCTAAAGAAAAGACAGCAACCGCTCCCAGTGGAGGGAGCAGCAGGGAAACAGCCTCACTGGAAAGCAGCTTAGGACCCGGGGCAAGGCTGATCCTGGCAGCATCTGGCCAGCTGCCCGGAGGTCTTCCTGCCTGCCTGCCAGGTCTCGTGACAGACGCCCTCTGGCAGCCAGGGAGCCACAGCTGTCGGCAGAAGGCTCCACACGTGTGGGTGGGCAGCCAGGGGCCTGCTGCTGCAGGGCACCTCTCCGGGATGGTGCCCTCATTATCTCTGCAGATGGAGCCGGAGCCCTGGGGAGTGCAGCTGCTCTCAGCTGCCTGCCCTGGGAGCTGTGCACGGGGAGGGCTTCCCGGGGCAGCAGGCCTAGACTTCACTTTCACACCCTCCCGTGACGCCCTCTGTGTTCCAAAGCTGTGCCTGTGCCCAGCCAGGGTCCACAGGCACAGATGGTGCCTCCCCCCCACACTTGGCCCTCAGCCCCAGTGCGGGGTTAGATGCAAGTAACAAGGAGAAAAAGAGAGAAAGGAAAGCATTATCTGCCCAGAGCTTGTCCAAGGGGGCCCCTCCTGGAGGCCTCAGAGCTGTGTCATTTTCCACGCACGCCTCTGTGATCCAGGAAGCCCCCTGGCACCTTCCCATCAGAGGAGAGAGGGGTGGGATGGGGCAGGGGCTGGAGATCTGAGATCTGAGTCAGCTGTGCTTTCTGGGGAGCCTTGCTGTGAGGACAGCCCCACCTGTGACCTGGGGACACGGAGGCCAGGTCAGGGAATGTGTCTGAACCCAGCCACGGACATCCTGGGGTTGGCCTGGGGCCTAAGAAGACAGAGGAGGGGTGCATGGAGATGCCTGCATCTGTGGACTGGGGATGGCTGTCGTCCACTCTGCTCCCAGCTGGTGCTTGACCTGGAGCATGTGCCAGCATCCCTCTCTGCTCCAAGCACCCTTGTGGGGCAGGCGGAGAAAACACCTGCCTGCAGTCAGGCTGGGGGGAGGGGACACAGTTGTGTTGGGGGGTCGTGGCTGCTGGTGTTGCCACGCTCAGGCCATGCTGTCTTGGAAGGGGGCAGCTCTGGGGGTGGTGAGGGCTGATGGGTGACCCTGCCTTTTACGACAGTTGAGCCACTTGCTGACTTGGTTTGAGTCCTGCTTAATTGCTGTCAGCTCAGGGCCTATGGGTTCTGAGTTGGTGCCTGACAAGTTTGGATTGGGACCAGGAGAATGAAAACACCAGGATTTATAACAATGTCATTCCCCCAAATGCCTGAACCCCTCCCAGGGCGGGGGCCAGCCTTGCTGTGTGCTGCAGTGAGGGTGCCTGGTGCAGAGACAGGAAGCTGCTGCATGAAACGTCTGCCTGCCGGGGCACGGGCCCTTCCCTCCCCACTCCCCTCTCCCACGTAGCTCCTGCTGTCTGCCAGGGAACGGACAGAGGAGAGGTCTGCATCCCCCTGCCCTCTCCTGGAGCCTGCTGAGGTCTCAGCCTGCAGTCGCTGAGCAAATCCACCAGGCTGATGGTTCCCCAGCCCAGCCCCAGCCATCCAGGGCCATTCGCCGGGCCCAGGTGTGTGCTGTCCTCAGGGGAAAGTGGCCCAAGCCGGGCCTTCCTGGCCGTGCTGGGACATGACGCTGGTAAAGTCCTAATCCGTGTTATCCTCTCCTAATCCTTTGCCGCCTGCCCTGCCTGTCTGCCGCCCTCAGGGCCTTTGGTCTCAGGCTGGAGCCCGCGCTGAGCCCCTGGCATGAGGAAGCCAAGCGTGTGCTGCAGGGCACCCGGATGAAGGCCAGGACCCAGCCCCTGCGTGCCAGCCATGATATTGTGCTCACCAACGCTCAGGGCAGCCGGTAAGTGGGGCTGGGAGGGCTGTGCCAAGGAAGGGTCGGCCGCAGGGGGTGGTGGGATGACACCGAGACGCAGATGAATGACAGGTGCTGACTTGGGCTCTGGAGGGTGGGCACTGAGGTCGCAGCCAGAAAGGCAGGAAGCAGACGCCCTGCTGTGGACTGTGGCCTGGGCGGGGAACCCCTGGACCGGCCTGGGAGGCACAGTGAGGCTCGCGAGGGGAGCAGGCTTTGTGGACGCAGCAGTAGCCGTGGGCAGGGTGACCAGAGCCCTGTGCTCAGGGATGCAGCCAGGCAGGAGCATGAGGCCACACAGCGCCCACGGCCGGGAGAGGCCGTCGTGGGCCTTCCTCTTCCCCAGGTCACTCCAGCAGCTCCCGGCAGCCCCGTCACCAGCTCTGCAGGAGGTTCCCTTGGCTAGGCTGCGCCCTGGTCGTAGAAGCTACTGAAAGGCAGCATGACCCACTTGAGCAGCTATTGTGCCCAGAAAGGAACTGCTCTGACTTGGCAGTGCTGGTGAATCCCGAGGGTAGAGCTGAAATGTCGACACCAGATGGCTGGCTTGCTGCAGATGCTTCTAAAGGTCGTGGTCCATCACACCACGCGGCAGGGGCAGGCTGCGTTGGCGCAGCAGTGCCACAGCCCCAGGCCTTGGTTAGGTGCAGCCCAGGTGTGTCACTCCTCCCAGAGAGCAGCCTGGGAGAGGTGGTGGGAGGAGGGCCGGGGCAGTCTTCAGGAGGCGTTCACCCTAGGTCTGGGCGACTGGGGTGAGCCTGACGAGAGGGCTTTTCCAGGCAGTGGAGAGCATTTTCTGGGAGCAGACGGATGTGGAGGAGCAGGCATTGGCGTAGTGGTTGACACCAGGGAAGACACCTGTGTCCCACATCAGAGTGCCTGGGTCTGATGCCTGCCCCAGTTCCTGACCGCAGCTTCCAGCTGCTGCAATCGTGGGAGGCAGTGGTGATGGATCAAGTACTTGGGTCCCTGCCACCCACATGGGAGACTTGGCTGGAGTTCCTGGCTTTTGGCTTCAGCCTGGTCCAACCCTGACTACTGTAGGCATTTTGGGCATAAATCGGTGATTAGAAGCTGTCTGTCTCCACTTCCCCCCAAAATAAAATGTTTTAGGAATTCAGTGTAGACATTGGGCAGCCCCCAGAAGCATAAGCTCTGACTCTTTGTGAGGATGGGTACAGCTAGCAGGAGGCAGGACACAGCGAACCCAGGGCCTGGGAGGGGGACCCGCAGGCGGGTCACACAGCGGCGTGTGCAGACTCTGGAGCCTGTGCACAACACATTCACAGTGCAAGCGGACAGCACCAGTGGGCAAAGCAGGCTCCTCCAGAGGCCACTCGGCTCCAGGGTGACAGGCCTGGCTCTGACCAGGGTCCTCTCCTAGAGGGTGGCAGGTGTCACACCTGCTGGGCCCCACCTGGAGAGGTGGCAGGTGTGGGACCTGCTTACTGCCCAACTGCCACCTTCTCTCTGCTCCTGTCTCAAACCTCAGCCCACTCTTACGCACTGTTGCCAACATTGCTGGTTGCCTGTGGATTTGAATGATTGGATTGAAGACAACTTAAGGGATTGCCCTTGCCCACATTTTTCCCTTTAGAACACAAATGCTGTATTTTTACCTTTGGAGTAAATTCCAGGAGGGCTCAGCTCACCACCTGTATGTAAAAGCTGAGGCCGCTGAGAGGGCTCATGAGACCTGGACTCCTCCTGTTACATTTCTGTGCTGCCTGGAAAGCTGGGATTTCCTTTTCCTCCCCAGAAATTCCAGTCACCAGTAGAGCAGGCCATGGGCCTGGGGCCTGTGTAGGAGCTGCTGTGTCTGAGCACGGGCAGTCTCCTGCTGGCCACCTGGCTGGCGAGGACGGAGCTGGTGCTCAGTAGGGTACCTCCTGTTCCTGGGTCAGGGGTGCTGAGCCTGTTGCTGCTGCTGGAGCCTTCCTTTCCTGGGCTACTAGACAGGCAAGAGTGCCTGTAGAGAGCCGACCACCAGCCCCACACGGTGACCCCACAGCTGAGCGAGCACAGGTGAGGCCCAGACGCTACACATGTGTTCTCTAGAGAGCCGACAACCAGCCTCAGAGTGACCCCACAGCCGAGTGAGCACAGACTCCACACGCATGTTCTCTAGAGAGCTGACCACCAGCCCCACACGGTGAAGAAGCTCCTGGATCCTGGCTTTGGATCAGTCCAGCTCCAGGCATTTCAGCCATTTGGGGAGTGAACCAGTGGATGGAAGACCTCTCTCTGTCTCTCCCTCTGTCTGCAACTCTGTCTCTTAAGTAAATACATAAATATTTAAAAAATAAAATAAAATAAAACATGTTCATGGGACAGTCTAAAAATATGAGTACTTTAAAAAATTGTGGAGAAATAGAATTAAAAGAAAAGTTTATTTTGCTGCAATCAGTTTTGAAATACATGTGCACTGCTTCCCTGATAGAGATTGTCCACGGATGTTTGAAGCCCCTCTGTATGCATGCATCTCAAAAATTTTGCTGCAAAATAAGTTTGCTTTTTAATTCTGTTTTCCAGGAACTTTTGAAGTGCCTGTGCATTATGGGCCCTGGGCACTGTGCTGTGTCTTTGTGTGAGCTCCAGGACACAGAGGAGCTGACAACATGCAGTGTGTTACTTAAAAGCAGTCCTTTTTCATTTTCTGAGGGAGAGAGAGAGAGAGAGAGAGAGAGCGCGCGCACTTCCATCCAGTGGTTCACTCTGCAAATGGCTGCAATGGCCGGAGCTGCACCAATCCGGAGCCAGGAGCCAGGAGCTTCTTCCAGGTCTCCCATGTGGGTGCAGGGGCCCAAAGACTTGGGCCATCCTCCACTGTTCTCCCAGGCCACAGCAGAGAGCCGAATAGGAAGTGGAGCAGCTGGGGCTTGAACCTGTGCTCATATGGGATGCTGGCATTGCAGACGGTGGTTTTACCCGCTATAGCACAACACCAGCCCCAAGCAAGCTGTCCTCTTAATGCAAGATCTGCTCAAATCTCAAAATGGGCAAAGGTATTTGCTTAACAGTAGTTTTTTTCTTAAAAAAATTTTTTTTCCTCCTGAAGCAGTCAGTGCTTACTGGGGTCAGGGGTAGTAGCAGGAGTTGGGGGCTGCCCGCTGCCCACTGCCCACAATCCCTTGCATTCCTGGACAGTGTGGGCATCTGGCATCAGGCCTAGGAGAGGCCCTGAAGAAGGGGCTGTAGCACCTCTAAGTGGTACCTGGTGATGTAAGCATCGCACCTGGTGATGTCAGAACCACTCCTGAATCAGGGTTGGGTGTGGAGCAGCAGGCCATGGCAGGACCTTGCTCAGCGTCCCTCAGCCAGCTCAGCTCACAGTGGGAGTGGAGGCCTGGGGTCCCATGAGGTGCAGTGCCCGGAGCTCTCAGCCTTAGCTAGTTCTCTGGAGCTTTTCAGGGAGTTGGTCTTGGGCAGTTTTAACTCTCACCTCTCAAGCCCACTCTTGACCCCCAAGAGAGCCCTTTGTACCTCACCCTGTGCTCCACACATGTCTCAGGAGAGCCCAGACCCTCAGGGCTATGAGGGTGAGTGAGCAGATGGCTGGGAATGGTCAGTGGTACCCTCGGTCCTGAGCCAGCCAGGCAGGGTCATTCATTCACACGTAAAGGACACCTGCAGGGCACACCGTCCAGTCCAGTGGGCACACGGGTGGTTCCAGAAGCCAACAGCTTGGAAACAGTCATCATTAGCATGAATGATTTCTTCCTGCCGTCATCTGAACTCCTCTCTTCTCAGTTGCTGGGTGGCAGTGAAGTTAGGAGAGGAGCTCCATTAGGGCAGCCATTACACTTGATCTTAGCCAAAAGGCCGAGAAGCAGTAGGGCAGCCGTTAGCCACACTGCAGCTCCCTCCAGAGTTCCTGATGCACCCAGGTACAGGACCGGGAGGTGGCCCTCAGATTCCTCTCACACAGTTCTTCATAAGACCACGTTGAGAGTCTGGGCAAGCCTGGGCAGACTGCGGCATGCACACTGCACCGGAGCAGTTTCACTGCTTGTGGAGATGGTGGGGGAGGAAGGGCTTCCTAGGTGTCCTGGGGACTGACAGCAGTGACCTAACACATAAAGTATGCAAGCAGTGACAGCCTCTGTGTGTGTCCATCCTGGGTAATCGCAAGGGGGTGGCTGCTTTCCCACGTCCAGGCCCTGCCTTGGTCAGGGTCTGGCTCTCCCTTCTCCCGAGGGAGAAAGAAGTCCCACAACTTGCCTTTTCCAGCTGCCGAGGGGCCAGCATCTTGTGTTCTCAGGTCCTTTCTGGCTCTCATCTCTTCCTTGTCTGTGATGGCCAGTGAGTGGCAGATTACCGTGACGTGTTGGTCTGGCTTCTCCAGACACGCAGAGCCAGCAGGGCATGCACACACGCTCGTGTGGACTCGGTGAGCCCAAACCTGCAGCCCAGGCCCCAGGGGAGAGCACAGCCCCTTCTTGCTCAGGGGAGGTCTGTTTGTTCTCTGAGCCTTCAGCTGATTCAGCGAATTACCTTCACCATGGAGGAGTCTTCTTTATCCACAGTCCACCGATTTAAATGTTAATCTCATCCAGAGACCACATGCACAGAAACATTGAGAAGACTGGCACAGGGCACAGCCAGGTTGACCTCAACATTAACCATCACTCATGGTGACTTAATGACCGGGCTAAACGCAGGCCATCTAGGAAGATGCAGAGGGCTGGGTAGGTGGGCGGGGCGAGAAGCCTGCAGGGCCCACGTGTGGGTGGTAGGGCCAGAGCTGGGGAGGAAGGTTCATGGAGGGCCTGTCTGCACCCCAGTGACCACGGACTTCGTCCCGTGCCTGGAATGAGTTAGTGAGGCTGGGTGAAGGGCACTGCGTGACACTGTGCCTGCGATGTGGAAGCAGTCACGAGAGACCCTGTGAATCCCATGCACTTAGCAGATGCCTGGCGGGGGTAGGGGTGGCTTGGGGGGCTAGTCCAAGCATGAGGACATGGGGAACATGGTTCTGACCTAGTGGCTCAGAAGAGACATTGTCTATGGGTCTCAGTCCCTCTGCGCAGTGGCCTGTAACTCGCGGGGGGGGGGGGGGGGCTGTGGTGCAGGCTGTGTGGGTGTCTCCCAGAGCCAGAGCTGAGGGCAGAGCTGAACGCAGGTTGCAGGTGTGTGATTTGGGGGCATGCATGAGATTTTCCCTGGTGCCCTGGCTCAGGGTCAGTCTGGGCTTGTAAGCTACACTGACCCCCCCAGGAATGTGGTTTGGGGTGAGCTGGGGATTGTGGCATAGAGCACCGTGGGAGACGGCACCCAGTCCTGCCTGTGACCTCTCTCCTCCTGTCTCTTGCTCAGAGATGGCCAGGGCAGCCCCACCCTGGAGCCCAGGACGACCTCCTCCTGCAGCCACAGCCTCAGCCATGCGAGTGTTCCCCGGCCCAGGTGGGGCCCCTTCGCGGCTCACGTGCGCTTTGAGGACGAGTCTGCCTGTGAGGCCGAGTTCCGCTACCTGGAGCGGTTACAGGAGCGCCAGCGCCAAGTATTGAGCACAGTGCTACAGGCCATGGACCAGGGTGCCCTGCGCTCGAAGCCAGACCTCACTGACTACATTGCGGGGGGCCTCCGGCTCCAGGACGCGAGGTCTGTGGGCAGCCGGAGGAAGTGCTCAGCCTGGGGTTCCTACGCGGGGCACCCATGCCCTGCTGAGGGGAAGGCCCTTCCCAACAGGGGAGTCCCCCAGGAGCTCCACGCTGACAGTCAGTGGGGCCTGAGCACCCCTCTGTTCCTGTCTGCTGAGCCAGGGTTCCATGGGGGCTGGATCCGAGAAACACACATTGGAAGCATCCCGGACCCCGAAGGCGAGGACCCTGCCCTGGACAGCTGTCAGCTCAGAAAAGAGGAGGTGGGGACGCTCTGGCCCAGCAGCACCTGTGAACGGCACCACGGTGGCCTGGAGGGGCCCGGGAGGGCTGAGGTGGAACTGCCCCTGGGCTTCCAGGCCCGGCCTCACCTGAGTGGGGCTGCAGATATGGACGTGGGGCAGGAGGAAGGAGGCGGAGGATGCTTGCCTGAGGGGACCTCGTTCCTGAGAGAAGATGCTGTCCCTGAGCCTGCCCTGGCATCTGAGGGGGCTTCCTTGGGGTCCCACAGACAGCCTGGGCCAGGGCTGGGAAGTCACCAGGCCCACTCTGCGGCCTCCAGGGCTCCATGGAGGACAGGCTGTGAGTCCAGCAGCCAAGCCCAAACAAACCACAACTCTCTGGAAATCGTGCCCTGTTTGTCCCCGCCCCAGAGCTGCACAGAGCCCTGTGCCCCTCACCACGCCCTGCGGCCAGCCCCTCCCTCATCAAGGAGAACCCCCACCCCTCCGTCTCGCAGGAGGACAGTACCAGCTGTGCACCTGCCTCCAGCTCCTTCCAGAAGAGAGGCTGTCAGGACCTGTGAGCCGAGCCCACCACCACAGGCCCAGCCTTGCAGCCCCCTGGGCCAGTACCCTCTGCTGGCCCCAGCCCCCAACAACTGTGGCAGTGGCCCGTCTGGGGGGCCACAGGAACCTTGCGAGGGCAGACTGGAGGAACGCCCTTGCGGCTGGGAGCCAGAGCCAGCCCCGGACAGCGATGGACACGGTAAGGGGTTGCCACTGGTTCACGCCCTGGGTGGTTGTGCAGCAGAGGCCCAGGCCAGGTCTGTGACACTCCCAGCATTTGGTATCCATGTCTGGTGACAGCCACACACCACTGCCGCAGCCCCTGGAGCCACAGGTGTTGGGAATGCCAGTGGATTAGTAGGGCTGGATGTGTCTGGGGTGAGTTAACCAGCTCCCCTGGGAGAGGCAGGTTGGTGCAGAAGGCAGTGGGGGGAACATTGAGTCCCACACGGAAGCGATGAGCTCAGTGGCTCCTGGGGGCCTGGGCTTTAGGGGGAAGCAGGATGGGCAGCAGCTGCAGGGTTTGCTGCTTTCCTAGAGCAGTAGACACCCTGCAGTCACATGGCTCAGGCCCTGACCTTTCAAATTCTCCACTGCATTCCATGCCTTCACACACTCAGTGTTGACCTTGGCGGAGCCTGTGCTGGGCCCGGCCCTGAGTGAGGCCCTGAGTGGGATGCAGAGGCGACTCTGGGGTTCTGCCCTGGAGGCTCTCTCCGCGGACAGGCAGATGTGGTCTCTGCAGGACACAGCACCCAGCGGGCATAGCCCTGCTGTCGTGAGCTGGAGCTCCTCTCTGGCACTGGCCCCCACCCGCATCCTGTCCTGCCAGGCAGCCTGACAGGCTTGGCAGTGAGGCTCTGCAGGGTGCAGGCGGCTCCTCTCTGCCCTTTGGTTGGGCCCTCATCTTGGTGAATCCGGGGCCTGGGCTCTGATCCCACTGTATCTGCTGGCTTTAGACAGAGCTCACAGGGTGCTGTGCTTGTGGTTCTGATGTGCTTGGGGCTGGGATTGCTTGGGGAGGATCCAGGATGGAGGAGAGGTCAGACAGGAAAGACCACGAGGGCCTTGCACTTCCTGCTCACGTGCACCCTGAGGAGCAAGGCTCCCCTGAGTGCCCCTGCCGCCCAGGCTTGGCCGTAGGTTCTGAGGTTGGCTGCCGGCTTGCCCCTGACCCTTCCTGCAGGATTTCTGCTCTAAGAACTTCCGGGCAGCAGGCCTCACCTCCTCAGCACAGTGAGGGCAGTAATGGTTCCTGTCTCGTGGAGCCCTTGAAGTCACTGCTACAGAGCAGGCTGTAGGTGCTGCAGAGGTGCTAGCGATTGCGAGGGCTGTTAGAAAGAGCGACAGAAGCTTCGCCTTCCAGGAACGCAGAACTCGCTCCTGCTCCCCCTGTGTGCCAGACAGAGCAGGGCGGTGATGCAGCATTGCCAGCCTCACTCACTGCTCACCCCCATGTGCAGATGCTGTGCTGACACCTGGCCCTTGGTCTCTAGTCCAGGGACACTGAGGAGGGGCCCTCAGCCCTGACCACCTGGGAGGGTACCCCACCTTCGCGTGCCACTCCTGGGGGTCTCACTGTTGCCTTCATCGCCCACCGAGTGGCCACCTCTTCCCAGCTTCTGCTGCTCCCCTGCCTCTGTGGGCCAGATCTGGCTGATGCAGGATGCTGTGCTTGTTCCAGCAGACGTCGCCACCGTCCACGCCACTGGCATCACCATCTCGTTGGCCTCGGAGCCAGAATCCAGCCAGGAACCAGAGGGGGCCCTGCAGACGACACGGTTGCATTCCACAGGATGTGTGCTGCCCCAGTGAGTGAGAGCAGCAGGGGGTGGGGACGGGGTGCCGGGTGGGGTGGTCGCATGGCTGAAGGTGCTGCTCCCTGAGGCCGAGAGGACTCCTTGACTCTGCTGGGCTTGCTTTGCTGGTGGACCATTGCCCAGGCCCAAGAAAGGTTAAGAACCACTGAGCGGGTCAGTGAGTGCGTGGGGAGCCCCACACGGAGTGCTGAGTGCCACGGCAGGGGCTCACCCACACTGTTCTGCCTAACAGTGACCAGGCGGAGAACCTCGGCCGGCCTTTCTGTCTCCGGCCGTGTGGGAGTTCCTGGCCCCAAGAGGGCCAAAGGCTCTGGAGCCCATGGGGCCCTAGGGCACAGCATCCATCATCACCCCTCAGCCATCTTCAGCCACCTGTCGTGCCCCGGTGTGTTCCAGGGCATCACCAGAGGCCAGTGCAGCACCTGACCCAGCCTCAGCCACGGCTTCTAGCAGGAGCAGGAAAAGGGGCAGCAGCCTTGTGTCCAGCCTGGGACTGAGAAAGTTCTTCTCCACCCTGGGTCAGAGCGCTCGGCCCAAGCTGGCCACGTCCCGCAGCCGCAGCGTGGAGCAGCTGCACCCCGCTGTGCCGGCCACAGCACCGCACTCCAGCACCCCTGGAGCAAGGAGAGCCCCATCGCTGCAGGCCCTGCACCTGGTGAGTCCTGGCGCCCTGGCTGGAGCAGGTGTAGCCCCCAGGGAATGCAGTGAAAGGAGAAAACAGGTGCGGAGTGTTCTGCAAGAGGCCTTCGGCAAGGGAAGCTGCTGTTTCCCCACTGTGGCCCCTCAGGACACAGGGCAGGCAACGCCCCCTCCCCTGCTGCCCACACCCAGGCCCCACCATTTTCCTGCCTCCTGCTCGCTCCCAATTTTGCCCCGCCCCCCACCAAACCCTGCAGAGCCAGTGGCCTGGTCATTCCAGAGCCTTGTGCAAGGCTACATAGTCCAGGCACAAATCTTGGCACACCCGGAGATCCTAACAGCCTCCCAGCCAGGTCTGAGGTGCAGACCTGGGATCTCCACCCCTAATCTCCCTCAGCACTCAACACTGTTGCATCTGAGCTCCCCCAGGCTTTCAGCTGAGTGCATCTTCAGCCCTGGCATCTGCTCATCCATCAGCTCCAAGGGCTCCCCTGGGCCCCTTCCTGGAACTCCTTGCACAGCATTTTACTGAGTTTAGAATTCCTTGAGGGAAGACCATGCCATATTTATTCTCCCAGCATGTGTAATGTCAGTGAGTTCCAGATACGCACTCAGTACACACTGGGTAGGCTGTAGGCCCCCTCCCCAGGCATGTCAGAAACCTGCAGCAGCCCTCAGCTCTCAGGAGGCCTCTGGAAACCCTGCCTGGTTCCAGGTAATCCCAGGCATCGCGTCCCTTCCATTCCCTGCAACAGAGCGGGGACGATGGGGCGTGGGGGCTTTCCTTTCTCAGGCTGCACAAGGGACGAGAGTGAGGCCCGATGCAGGTTCCACTGCTCTCTCTCACCAAGGATGGTTCCTGGGACGTGGTCTGTGCTTGGCTGTTGGATGGCTAAGTGCATGGAAGTCGCAGAAACAGAAGCAGATTGCGAGCTGGGGAACAAGGCAGCCGCAGCGACCTTGTGCCCCCCAAATTCCCTTTTCTTGTGAAGTTAGATTTGCCCAGCACGAGGCATGCGGGGTCACTGCCATCAGAGCCACCCCCTCTGCAAATTCTCACAGGAAAGGACACTGCCATGCTGTCACAGAGTTCAGAGGGAGGGCAGGAAGGGGAGCAGGCAGGGTGGTGCTGCAGAATGTTCAGATAAAGGCGAAAGGTGTCCCCCAGAGATACCTGACAGGCCGGCAGGCCGTGCAGCCTGGAGGGAGCCTGCGCCCGTGACCTGCCTCTCCCCTCCCCGTCCCAGCCGGCTCCTCAGGTCGGGGTTCAGCGTGGCTTCCCCCAGGAGGCTGAGCTGGGACACAGGGCTGAAGCTGCTAGGGCACAGGCCACGTGCTCGCTCCGACGGCAGAAATTCTGGCCGCTGGAAGCCCGAGATCAAGGCACTGGCAGCCTTGGGGTCTAGTGAGGGTCACTTCCTCACAGACGGCCTGTGTGGCAGCAGGGGAGTCCCAGCCTCACGACCCAGCCACCCCTAGAGGCCTCCTTCCTTGGGGATGAGGCTGCAGCGTCCACTTTGAAGGGACTCCCTGGGCCACCAAGTACCATGTGCAGCACTGCTCACCCCCTGGAGAGGTGCCTCCTCTTATCTTGTGGTTCTTACCAACACCATCCAGCAGCCCACAGCAGGGCTGGACCAACCTGTCCCCCACAGCTCCCACAGCCCCAGGCGCCACGTCTGGCCCCCAGGACCCAGCCCGTCCCCACAGCTCCCACAGCCCCAGGCGCCATGTCTGGCCCCCTGGTCTGGCCCCCAGGACCCAACCCGTTCCCACAGCTCCCACAGCTCCAGGCACCACACCATCATACGTGCTGCCATTCTACTTCACCTGGATGGCTCTGCTCAACGTCAGCTCCTCCCTTGCCCCCGGCCTCCTAAGCCTGACTCTACTTCCCTGCACACCCATCCCTGGTGTCTTAAGTCCAGCAGTCACAACATGCATTTAGGGCTTTTGTTAGTACAAATCTTGGATGAAAGAAATCCTAAGAGGGAAACTAAGGGATCACAAGATATTTAAGACTTTCAACTCTAAAATTGTACGCACTATTCCTTAATTAAGTTGCTTTTCCTTTTTCTTTTTAAACATTTATTTCAAAGGCAGAGAGACAGAGCTCTCCATCTACTGGTTCACTCCCCAGTTGCCTGCAACAGAAGGGGCTGGGCCAGGCCAAAGCCAGGTGCCAGGAGCTCCACCAGGGTCTCTAGGAGCTCCATGTGGGTGCAGGGGCTCAGGCACTCGAGCCATCACTGCTGCCTCCCAGGGGCATCAGCAGGAGGCTGGATCGGAAGCAGAGTGAGGACTCGACCCCAGGCACTGTGGTGTAGGTTGCAGGTGTCTCAAGGGGCATCTTAACCACTGAGACAAACAGCCACCTCTGCTTTCACTTGTGTGCTGATCAACTAGAAACCAGGTTCTGCACGAAGTCATTTCAGCTAACATTTAATAAAAGCAAAACACTGTGTCAGGGACTCCAGGCATCTGACAGCGCCTCCTGCTATACGCCTGCAGTGACCACGCCCGCTGCGGCCCTCAGCTGTGGGCTGGCCGGGTCCCAGGTGCGGGTTCTCAGCTGCGATGCGGGCTTCTCCCACAGGGCTCACCTTGGCACCAGCATCACGGAGCTGCCTCCTTCCACAGCCTCCATGCCCTGCTGAGCGGCAAGGGGGACCGGTCCAGCCTCTACCTGGTGGCAGAGCCGGGGGGCCACGGAGTGGCTGGCAGGTGAGAGAGGGCCGTGTGGTCGGAGAATGAGCTCAGGGAATGGCCTCTTCCTGCCTCAGTCAGGGCCCCGCGCCGGGGGAGGACAGTGGGGCGGGGCGGGGGGTGCATGTGCCCTGGCCTGCGGCTGAGCCCAGGGCGGCCTGGGGTTGCTGCAGGGGAGCAGAGTGTGTCCTTGACCTGTGACCTCTCTGAGAGGCTATAGGTGAGCTGCCCTACTACGTGTGGTTAGAGCTCTGCCAGACTTTCGTAGAGGTTGCGTGGAGCGGGGCTGGGGTGGGGTGAGGGCGCCTCTCCAGCTCCGCAGCAGGCACTGGGCCCTGGCAGCCAGGGGAGCCGCCCGCCTTGGCCCGGTCAGCTTTCTGCTGCTGGACATCACTGGCACCAGCCTCTGAGGTCTGAGAGGCCTCAGAAGCAGTGGCCTTGCCTCACGTGTTCCATGCCCTGCACAGCACAGCCAGGGCCCCGCCCCGGCGTGCCCTCAGCGTGGAGGACGTGGGCACCCCCAGCCTGGCTCGCACCGTGGGCCGCGTGGTGGAGGTGTTCCCGGACGGCACGAGCCAGCTACAGCTGCAGCGCTCCCCGGACGGCACTTTCGGCTTCTGTGTGGCCTCTGGGAATGGGCGCCGGGACTCAGGTAGGCCCCTTCCCTTTCCAGCCACCCTCCCCACCTCCCCGTCCCAGGGGCCTCGGTAGACCACTGGCTGGGGCCGGAGCTGGGTGAGGCACTGTGTGAACTCGCAGCCCACCCTCAGCCCAGAGCTCCTCCTGAGCTGCAGAGGCACCCAGGGCTCTGTCCCTGGAGGACCCCCACCTGGGCAGCTGAGCTTCGAGGAGCTGGTGGGTGCTGGAGAGGCAGGGTGCTGTGATGCACCTGGAAATCAGGCTCTTGAAGAGGGACCGGTTCTCAGCGCTTCCCCTGTCGTGGCTGCAGCCACATCTGGGCACACAGGAGGGGCCTGGACAGATGCGTCTGGGCTCCAGGCCCCTGGCCACTGCCCAGTCAGCCCGACTCATACTGGCAGAGACTGCGAGGGGCACTGGATGCATTCTGCACTGCGGCCACTGCTCGGTTCACTCTGAGGCTTGCCCAGGCCTTTACCCAGTCTGTGGTCCAGGGTGCACCTCAGGCAGGAGAACCTGGAAACTAGTTCTCAGATAGGATGAGCAGGGAAGAAGGCTGAGGTGGGGAGGGAGGGGTGGGAAGAGAGCAGGGAAGAGACTGACACGGGAGATGTGCTCAGAAGCCTGCTGCTGGGCTCCGTGAGGGGCTGTGGGTGCTGTGCGGCACCTCCTGGGTCAGCGCTGTCCATTCTGGAGGAGCATCCGCCCCACCGTGCACTGTCTCAGCATCCCCACTGTGTGCTCCAGACTCTGGGGACAGCAGACCAGGCCCTGTCCCTAGGAGCGCACGTCCCGGGAGGCAGGCGACAGCCACGTCACCCTCTTGCCCATCACGTGCTGTGTGTTACAGTGAAAACCCTGGAAGCCAGGGTGGTGGGTGCGGTGCTGTGCCTAGATGTTCTTGAGCCAAGCCGTACCTGAATGCAGGGCGGAGCTTGGGGCACAGGGAACAGCCAGTGCAGGCATCCTGAGGGGCGGTGGGCTCTGCCTGGTGGGGAGCTGCTGGACGTTGCCGAGCACATGAGGTGCAGCGGGGAGCTCAAAAGGCGGCAGGGTCCGTGCTGTGGTGAGGGCTTTGGCTTCGCGCTAAGGGAGCCGCTGGAGGCCAAGTAGAGACCTGACGTCCAGTTTGCACCCTGCAGGGCCGCAGGCTGCCCCTGGCAACCACTGTGCGTGGTCCAGGAGACGGGATGGTCAGGCAGGACAGCAGTGCACACGGGAATGGTGAGGGGCTGGTCCTGGCCAATTCGCAGGCAGCTCTGAGCCAGTTTGCTGAGGGACTGGTTATTCCGTGCAGCTGACAGCATGGACGAATTCACTGGGCTGCAGTGCAGTGCGGACAGTCGCCTCGCTGCTGCCCGCAGGCTCCGCGAGTCCCTGCCAGACAGGAAGCTGCTGCCCTGGTTCACCGTCTCACTCCCGTTTCCTCGCAGTCTGTTCCTCAGCAGGGTCCCTAAAGGGGACAGTTTGGTCCCTCGGTCTCCAGCTGAAACCGCTCATTGCTGGTTACGCACCGCTAAGAACTGCCCCGGCAGGGGTCAGAAGCCAGGTGTCTGGGCCCCAACCCTCTGAAATCGGCCTTGCGCGTGCACGGCTGCTGCATCCTCCCCTCTCCACGGGACCCGAGAGTTTGCGCACCCCATCTCCGTGCACAGCCCCCTGCCTTGTGTTACCCCCTGGCCCCCGTGAGCCTTCTCTGCATGGCCGTGGCTGCACAAGGCTGCTTCTCTCAGCCTGCCCTTCACCTCCTCTGGTGTTGGCTGCCTGCCTGCCCTGCTGAGGTCTCACGGGAGGCACGGGGAGCAGGAGGCAGGAGAGGGGAGACGCTCCTGGATGCAGCCGAGCATCCTGGGAATGGCCCTGGCCGGGCAGGGTGCGTGCGAAGATGAGGGTGAGCCACGTGGCTCTTCAGTAGTGCAGAATTTCAATTTGCCTTAGGATTTTAACCACCCTATCCCCATCCCTGCCCAGCAGTGCAAGTCTTCACTGGGGTTCATTTGCCAGCGTCTCCTTTCTTCCTTTCCAGGGTTCTACGTGCAGGCGATGGCTGATCTGAACACGGCCAAGCTGTACTCAGGGCTTCTGGGGGTGGGCGACGAGATCCTGGAGGTGAACGGGGCCAAGGTTGCGGGGCTGGGCTTGGCTCTTGTGGAGGAGCTGCTGGCCCACGCAGAGAGCTTGTCCATGCGTGTCTTGCGGCAGAGGCCCAGCCCACGGTGACACAGAAGCGCTGCTGCCCAGAGCTGATCTATCAACAAAACAGGTCACAGCGGCACCGGCTCCCGGGGCTGTGGCAGGGCATTTGATTGATCACCTTAGGGAGAGGCAAGGAGACTGCATTGAAGACCTAAGGCCATGAGTTTATGTAGCACTGGGTAAAAAATATGGGTCTCCTCCCGTGCCAAAGCGGTGTCAACTTGTGTGAGTTCTTGACCCTTCCCTGCAGAGGAGTCAGGGGTACTCACTGGCTCCCAAGTCTCACATCAGGCCCAGTCCCTGACAGGGGCTCCCCCAGCCCTACAGAAACATGGAGTGTGGGGACAAATGGGCTCGAGTCCACCGCATGCCTTGGCTCCTTATCCCCAGGTGAGCAGAATCCTGGAGGCCTGGCCTCCAGTCCCCCAGCCCTGCTGGGTGCGGCAGCAGCTAGCAGTGTTACCTGGCTGCCAGACTGCTCAGCATTTCTAGGACATTTGAATGCGAGAGACCAATTTCAGGGAAGCAGAGATGTAGCAGCTGGGGTCTCGTCTGCAGACCCAGCCAGGCCGGCTGCCCCACCCCGCACTCTGCCTCTGCCATTGCCATGCGGGGCTGGAGCTGCTTCCCTGTCCCCAGCTGCACCTCTTGGTAGCAGCTCTGAGTGGGCACGTGGGCAGCAGGGAGTCAGGACTGTTGGGAGCGGACCCCACGTGCCAACCTTAAACCATTACAAAGCGAAGCTGCAGCTCCTGCCATGCCTTATGGTGTCCCTCTAGCTGGCCACAACCGAGGACCGGCCGAGGCCCTCAGGTTGCGGTGCCACTTCGGCAGAACAGGGTTGAGGGGTCGCCAGTAGCTTCCACAGGCCTTTGTAGCAGGAGCCCCTTGAGCCCCCTCCTCTCTCTGACACTCCTGGAGGCCAGGGGTGAGAGGGAAGGGCTCTCAGAGCCCCACCACCCACAGGAAGGGGTGGGGGAAGATGTCGTCAGGAGGGTCTCACCACCAGGCACCCTGAACACCCGCCTGCCCCCACAAGGCACAGAGCAGCCTCTCTGACCAGGAAACCACAAGTGTGTGGGATCCCTGGCAGCTCCTGAACCCCAACGCCTGGCCTTGACATCACAAAACTGGAGAAATTTCACAATGAGACAAGAGGGACCTTGTTTTCTCTGTATGATGAAGACCTGCCCTCCCAGCTGGGAAGAATGGGAGTAGGAGCTGGGGAGAATGGAAACCAGGCTAAATCCCGGAGCACTGAGCGTCTGCACCCCGCCTACCAGTGCTGGGCCAGGCTCTAGACGTCTCTGGTCTTACAGATCACACCAGTGACGTCTGCTCACGGCAAGGGGGGGCACCCAGACCCTGCTCTCCCCCAGGTCAGAAGACAGCTGCTACAAGGGAAGAGGGTAGGTGGCACAGGGTGGTGCAGACCCTGCCCTCTGGACCGGAATCAAACTGCCAGGGCCAGAGGTGTCCCTTGGGACTCCCAGCTCCCCATGAGGTCCTGGCTGGTATGCACGGGAGCCTTGCTTGGCCTCAGCCCCTGTTTTGCATGGGCAGCTGCTGAGCTCAAACACACACTCCATCCCTGCACACAGAATCACTAGGCCACTAACCAGCTTTTGGAGATGACAAAGGTCCACCCCACAAAGCATCAGCACAGCACACTGCAGCCTGGGGCAGAGCACAGGGTTGGTGCCTAGTGTGGGGAGCCCGAGGGAAGACCACTCCTGATTGGCAGGTGGGGGTGGGGTTTAGCCGTTCAACAGCCTCCTGTGATTTGCAGAAGGCACCCAACATTGCGACTTTCTAAATAGAACAAAAAGTGGCACCAACTCTGGCTTCAGATAGTCCGTCTCCTTGGGGACATAGACGGCAGCAGTGTAGGCGGAGAGGTGCCACCTTCCTGCTGGTAGCCCATGGGCCAAGGCCGCATCCAGAGCCCCTGGGTGGGTTGAAGCTGCCAGGCTGATGCTGGACGAGGCTGGCTTTTGGAGGAGGCCGGGGGAAGCGAGCCTCAGACACGGCAGTGGGAGGGCGAGCAGCCAGGCTTGCAGCACAGGCTAGAGCCGCTGGGAGGTGGGAGGTGGGAGGTGGGGCCAGGGCCTGCCCGTGCGTGTGACGGGCTCCCGGAGGCCGGGACCCAGGGACTCAGATGGGCCCTGCCCTGCCTGCTCTGCACATGTCCTAGAGCACTGAGGACACAGCCCTGACACTGACCCTGTCTCTTCAAGGACAGCCTGCTTGCGTCCATGTTACAACCAGGCTAAATCACCCAAGGGTAAAACTGACCGTGGTGCTCGGACCTAACCCACTTCTGCCACTGCAGTCTAGGCCCCTCTGCCCATCTTGGGCTTGTGCCATGGGGATGCCTGGCTGTCCTAGGAGCCACCTTCCATCCCAGGTCCCTGTCATCGAGGCGGCTGGGACCCAGGGTCTTGGGGCTCCACTGACTTCTGGCCTGGTGGGGACTACTGGCAGGGGAGTTGGTCTCCACTTCACACATTTGTTCGCCCACCACCCATCCCCTCGCCAGTCCTCACAGCTGGAATGCCCTTCCCTTTGTCCAACCGACGTCTTGGGAGCCCACGCACGTGCCAGCTTCAGCCTCCTCTCCCCAGCGCCACTCGAATCTTGTTTCAAAGGCTCTTTGACTCTGCCTGTCCCACGGAACTCACCAGGCTCCAGGCTAATTGGGGAGTTGTGGGAAGGCCCTGGCATCACCAGATCCTCCTCCCAGCTTCCATCCTCTGTGAAGTTTTCCTGTCTCCTGCAGAGCCAGAGCACCTGCTCAGAAAAGGCAGCGGCCTCGCTTGGCAGGCTGTGCCCAGCTCTCAGGCCGTGTTTGGGCCCGAGGAAGCAAGCTGCTGGTGCTGGCTCTGACACCCTGCTCACGGTGCCAGGACTGAGCAGCTGCCCTGCCATCCCTGGAGGGTGTCCGGGGCTCCCCTGTGGACGCTGGGCCGCCCGCCACGCCTGCCTTTGTCTTGTCCTTCTGCAGTCTGGGCTCAGGGTCCTACTCAGTGTGGAGCTGCCTCAGGGAGTCTGGCCAGGTGCCAGGCACTGGCGAGAGGCACGGCCAGCCCTTGGGGTGCCCACATCTCCTGGATGGGCCCAGGTTCTGCTGTGAAAATGCACAAATTGGGGTGCTCAGGGCCACAGCTGAAGCCGCGAGGTCCTGCGGCCAAGCTCACCAGCCTTGCTGCCTCTGGTATCAAATCAGGAACCAGGGCCGCGGACGGCCACGGGAGCTCCCGCAGGGCCCAGGTGCCACATTCTGGGTCTCCCCACGGGCTGCTCAGACTTCCGGGTTTCTAGGACGGGTCGGGCTCTGTACTTCAAGCAAGCACAACTCCACAGATTTTGTCAGCCGGGACCACTGCCTGAGACGCTGGGCCGTGGATCTCTCCAGCTCCACAGCAGGTCTGAGACCTGTCAGTTTGGGCACCTGCAAGGGCCAGACGCCCAACTCCTACCACTGCCATGAGGATGGTCCCTGAGACCAGTGCCCTATACTCTCCATGCCTCAGTTTACAGGCGTCATCCGTCAATGCCCTGCCCCCCACTGGGCCCAGTGGATTCTCAGCAGGGCTGGGCACAGCAGGGGCTACTCAGGGACAGAACTGACACCTGCTCCTGGGAAGTGCTGACTGGCACGTGCTGGGGACACCATCTCAGAGCAGTCCAATCCACACACACGCATGTTTGGGGGCATCTGGTGACCGTCAGCCCTGAGGCAGGTGTGTGGAGCCTCAGCCTGCACCTGCCACAGGGCAGCCCTGCTGACTGCACTGTCAAAGCTCTGGGCGCCTGATCCCAGACGAGGGAGAGTGCCTGGGACAGTCACGGCCAAAGCTCTGACGGGGACTGTGGCAGCACCAAGCCTTCCTTTTCTGCCTTTTCACTTTCTTTTTCTGTTTATTTATTTGAAAGGCAGAGTTAGAATTTTCCAGCTGCTGGTTCTCTCCCCAGATGGCTGCCATGGCCAGAGCTGGGCCAATTCGAAGCCAGTAGCTTCTTCTGGGTCTCCCACATGGGTGCAGGGGCCCAAGGACTTGGACTCGAACCGCGCCCATATGGGATGCTGGCACTGCTAGCACTGGCCACAGTGCCTGCCCTGTCTTTTCACATTTTCAACCTCAGTGGTATTAAGGCCAGGGGTAGAACTGGACACTCAGCCTTGCAGGTGCTGGCTGCACCTGCCCCACAACTCTCAAGCTCAGCCCTTTGCCCTGGGGCCCTTCCCGCCCACCCACCACTGCATCAAGACACCCAGCCCATGGAGCACTGCTGAGACCCGGGGAGGGCGGCCGCCTGCTTCCTGCCAGATCTGAGGCGACGTCATGGTGTCAGAGTTGATACAAGGCGCTCACAGCAATGAGCGTAGAGTGGCCCCCAGCTAGCAACAGGGAGGGTGCAGCAGCCAAGCCCCTGCCCTCCTTACCCGCCCTGGACGCAGGGCCCAGCAGCCTCAGCCGGCCAGCACACCAGGAGTAAGGTGTCGCTCCCCCTCTTCGTGGAGGAACGACACAGGACCCTGCACTGTTCTTTCGTCTGCTCGGCCCTCCCCGGGTTTGCTGCTGGTTCTTCCCGGGTTGGCTACTATCCCTTCCACCTCCGTGGAAGGGCAGTTCCCCCTGGCCACATTCCCCACTTCCGCAGGGGAGCGGCACACCGCCGGCCGGCGGCTGCACAGGTGTTCCTTCAGCTAGATGTTCCCCTTAGATGTTCCCTGGTGCATGCCGTCTCTCTCCTCCTTTATAGTCCTCCTCCGCCAATCCCAACTCGGCTGCCCACACGCCGAGTACACTGCTCTCCAATCAGGAGCAAGTCCTACAGTTTATTGGTTGAACTGGAGGCAGCTGTGCGGAAGCTGTTTACTTCTCTCCCAGCGCCATATTGTGGGAGAGCAGATGCATAGAATAAGTCCAGTAACTCAGTCTAGTCCGGTTTGCTCCCCACAGTAAGGGACTCGGCTCCTACCTGTTCCACTCTCTGGTCCCCCGGGGTGCTTACACTGGGCTAGGAATACCTGTAAGTCACTCAGCTTACCATTCCCACCCAGGCAGCCACACATAGCTGTGCTTCTACCTGGGGGCAGCAGGAGCAGAGGGAGCTGAGCTTCGGTAGGAAAACAACCAAGGAGCAACCAGGCCACAGCAAAACCACGCGGCACAGAGCTCACAGCCTGTGTCACTCCTCGTCGAG